AGAGAGAGAGAGAGAGAGAGAGAGAGAGAGAGAGAGAGAGAGAGAGGTGTCTATCTTTGTCGTACTGAATTTGTGCATGAAGTGGACATAATCTCACAAATTAATCTAAAGCTTTTGGAGGTGGGAGGGGTGTGGAACCCCGGTGTCCCATCATTAGGTTTCTGGTGGCCAGGACCCCTTTTTCATCTAACTGTAGCATTAGGATGCGCGCAGGGCAAGCGTCTGCTCTCTCCTGCTTAAGTCTGCAGCACCTCGCTTCAGGTCAGTGGCATAACTCTGGAAGGAACTGGCTGTAAATCGAGGGACCCCCGAGGTGACCTCCCCCCCCCTTCCCGTTTGGTTTTAAACCGTTGAAAGAAATCAGAAGAAATCCCGAAGAGTGGGCTCCTTGGCGTCGATAGGGAGTCGGGACTCAGGTAAATCCCACCGAAGACTGCGCGGCTCATTTTAAACCTGGCCTCAATCTGGATCCACAACAACGCGCGCATCACCGGCAGATGGGGCAAAGTGGGGCAAGCGGGACAGCCGCTCCACAAACCGCAAACTACTCTAATGTAATGGGGGATACAGCGCACGCCTCAGCAGTCTTCCTTGGGATAAAGCAGCCCCAATCTCCACTCGCGTTTCCCACTGTACCCCCCCCATCACATACATATTTATTGGCTCCAGAATAAAACTTCTCTGGGTTCAGGGAAAAGGCGCTTTCATAGAAAAGTGGCGGGGTATAACCAAACCCAACAACCTGCCCTCAAAACTTCCCCTGCGTCCCGCCACCCATTCCCCCTAAACAGCTTCTTTCCGCAACTCTTCTCCTAGCCCTTGGGTAGATCAAAAAGAGACAGTGTTCAAATACGCCTGCTTTATCTGACTGGTGCGTGTGGTTTCTAAACTGCTCTCCATCGCTACTTTAGAGAGGGAGAGAGAGAGGAGAGAGAGACAGAGAGAAAGGAGAGAGAGAGAGAGGAGAGAGAGATACAGGAGAGGGGAGAGAGAGAGGGAGAGAGAGAGGGGGAGAGAGAGAGGGAGAGAGAGAGAGAGAGGGAGGGAGAGAGGGGGGGAGAGGGAGAGAGAGAGAGAAAGAGAGAGAGAGAGAAGTAGTCAGGGACATGCAAATAATAAGCAAATCAGAGAAGACAAAAAGAAAAAGGCAGCGACACAATACTAAGAAGAAAGGCCGGACTTGGGGAGTTGAGAAAGAACCGATCGCGGGGTGGGGGGTGAGAAAGGGGAGAGGTAGGAAAAATAGGAAAGAAACCTCAGGACTTCACCTACAACTAAGCTATTTTCTCATCTTTAAACTATAATAACACAAAGGATCAATAAAGGCTGGCGAGAAGAGAAAAGGAAGAAGAAAGACAGTCTCAGGAGAGGGTCGAGGAGACATTTTTCGCACCAACCTTGTCCTTTCACACCGACCAAACTATTGTGATGGTTCCCATGAAGCTTCGGAATATGGACCATCTGCCGGCTTATTTTTTTTTTTTTTAGTCTAACAATCTTACTCCGGTCACAAACTCAGAAGGGAGCAGCAGAAGAGGGGAGAATCCGGGGAAAGGAAATGTGGAGAGAGAAGGGGGGGGGGGAGGGAGGGTATCCAAAGACGAAAAGGGGGAAAATACCCACCACTCCCCCCTCCGAAGCAGTATTTCAAACAAGCCCGTCTCAGTGTCAAGAATACCCCTTCCCCCTTCCCTTTCCCCCTCCCCAAAAGAGAAAGCAAGAGAAGGGCAGGGAGAAAAAGGTACTTACTCAGTTCCAAAGGCGAAGAAACTGAGTCCCTCTCTCTCTCTCTCTCTGTCCCCCCCACCCTTGCTGGTTAGAGAGAAAGGAAAGAAAGAGAGAGAAACGCGCTCATACAAATGCTCAGATCGCCTTGATAATCTGGCTGCTGATGAATATTGCAACTGGACAAGGGAGGGTGAAAGCAAGAGTGCCCGCGTGCGAGAGAGAGAGGGAGAGAGGGAGAGAGGGAGGGAGGGGGGTAATGAGTGGGAGAGAAAGGGTACGAGAGACAGAGAGAGTGAGAGAGAGAGAGAGAGCGAGAAAGAGGAGAGGGGAGGAGAACCAGCTCTTCTGCGGCGCTCTTCTCTCCCCGGCTGTAATTGTCTTTTCTTTCTGCAAGCAGCAGAGCAGCCTCGCTGAGCTGAGGGCTCCGCACCACAACAAGATTTACTTTAAGACACAGCTGAAGGAAACAGGAAGACTACACGTCACGGTCTGAGTGACGTGCCTAGGCCCAGCGCCCAATCGGGAAGCTCCTTCGGATTCAAGGGGGATAGCGAGCGCAGAACTTGGGAGGAGTAGTGGGGGGGAAGAGAGAGAGAGAGAGAGAGAGAGAGAGAGGAGGAGAAACTGAATCTCTGTCCCCCCCTCCTCTTCGCATTCCCTCTATCCTCTTTCTCCACCCCGCACCTCCCGCCTCCTCCCGTCCCCCCCCCCCGCAATTTGCTGATGGGAAGGAAACTTCATCACCAAATTTGGGGGAAGATGACCTTGGCAGTTGTTTGTGCTCAGTTCGGAGTTCAACTTTGCCGGATGGTTCAGTTGCTGTACGCCAACACCTGGTGGTGGTAGCTGGGGAGGGAGGGAGGGGGGCTCTGTGAAAGCTCGACCCACCACCACCACCATCAACAACAACAGAAATCAAGTGGCCGAAAACACGGGAGAAGCGCGCGATCTTTCTAGGCATCGCGTGGGTGTACGCGCGCGCGTCTGTGTCCGTCCGCCTGTCTTTCTCTCTCTCTCTCTCTCTTGTATAAACGACCCCGCTTGCCTCCCCAGAAATAAACAGGAGTCGAGCTTGACTCCAAAAGGGCTTCACCTCTCAAGTCTTAGATGAGCGCTTGGCCGCTGTCTCCAACAATTTGCGCTCCAGGCTGCCGCCGCCGGTTAAGAGCGAAAGGATCAGCTCCGGAGCGCAACCCGTTCGCCCGGCAGAAAATTGCGCGTGTGAATTATGCGAGGGTCTGTTCAAGGTTTGTCTGAACCGTCCCACACCGGGTGTAAGGTTTTAAGAGGACGGGAATGTCTGCTCCCTTGAATAAATCTGATTTAAAGATCTTTTTTTCTTCGTCTTTTGAGTGTCGTTAAAACTGGTGGATCGGACGGCGCGGTCTTGCTAGGATCTGCTGAGAGGGAGGGTGGCGCTGCGCGAAGTCAAGGTATTCGGGGCGCACGCAGGCGGCCGTCAGAGGGGCTGATAAGCCAGTAGCCCTCGCCTTATAAGAAAACTGTTCCCTTATCAACATTAAAAGGGCCCTTGAAATCATGGACGCATAAAAACGTCCTTTCTTCCCGCGTGTGTCTATCTCATCTGTTTGTAGCCCTGGATCCCTTATAGCTTCAGATTCGGAAGGTTCTGAAGGGTGTAGATAACGCCAATTATCTTATTATATACCTGGTCGCCTTTGCTAACAAACCCCCTTCAAAACTTTAAAGAGAAATTCGCTATCTTCTGCCCCTAAATTCAGTGTGGTTCCCTCACGACCCGCACATCACAATTTCTACTTCTTAAGGCATGTTCAATCTTAAATTCCTCCTAAGTACAGCTTTATTCCTGTTTATTACAAGCGCGTTCTTTAATGTACAGAAATAACCAACTCGTCCATCTAAAGTTTAGAGCAGTGGATTTCCGCAGGTCATCAAACAAAAGGCTTAATTTGTGTTTTAAATGATTAGAAGGTGGAAATTGGCAGTATCTTTCCCTAATATATCAGGAATATCAAGGAGTGCAATTCTTTTTTTAAAAAACGCTACAACGCTTCCAATTTATGAAGTCTGGTCATACCTCACTCTTCTATCAGAAACGTTTTCTTCAACTAACTCGCTTCCTTCTTCTTAAAAAAGAACATTACAAATTGTCTTTAAAAGAAAAAAAAAGGAGGAAGATATATTTAAGAACAGGCACCTCAAGCAGAGGAGAAGAGCGGCTGACAAGAAGGTGCCAAATTAGGGTAGGGGGGTTTAATCGTTGGGGGAAAGGTAAAGGGCACGGCGGTGGATTCTTTGGATTTGAATACTCATTCAAGAAACACGCTCCTTTTTTCTCCGTATAGATAGATGCCTATGGAAAACATTTACAAATATAGACTTTAAAATCTCGACTTCATCCGCGTGAGTTGGGGCCTCCATTAAAAAAAATAAATGAAATCATGCCGAGGTAGAAGTTTGTTTGGATGTCTTTAATATGGTACATTTAAGGGACTTGGAGGACGCATTCAACAGTCTGCCACGCCTGAAATAAAACTCCACGTTTTAATACCTCGCTACCATATTTCTGGCGCTATTAGGATTGCTAATATTATTATTAATTCTGCATAAGCCCCCACTCTTTAAAACTTCACTCCCTTTCTTCCCTTCTTTTCCCCCCCCACCCCAGTTGCCCTCCAACTTTAAGAAAGGTAGCCCATTGCCGAAGAGGATAGCAGACTTTTAATTTTCTTTTTTTAAAAAAAGGAGAAGAAGAAGAATTGAAAGGCGATGAAAAAGAAACGTCTAAAAAGCTTCTTCCAACACCTTTAAAGCAAACAAACAAATTCACGAGAACGCCACCAAAGAGCGACCTCCACTCGGGAAAAAAGCCAAGGTCGGTCTGGTGGAAAGCGCCAGCGCCTTTCGCGCGCGTGGAAACGCGGGGAAGAGGGGAAAAAAATGCGGGCAGCTTTTTGAAGGCCCCGTCCTCGAGGGAGAAGGACGGTGGCGATCTGGCCCTTTCCCTCGGCTTCCAGTTACTTCAGAGCAGAGTGGAAACGGGGAGGGGGGGAGGGGACAGACTGTCCCTGGGAGGGGGCCACGCCCCTTCCTTCCTGCCGCGGACTCTAGCACTGGGGATCATCCTTGGGGCTGATAAGCTGCGGCCACCCCTTCCAAAGAATGTTTTCCCCCGCCATCACCCCCTTTTCAGTGTTGGCTGCCCTAGACGACCGTCGACTCTGGATTTCAGCTGGGCTGGCAACGGCCCTTAGGAGCCCTTTGCGAGGGAATATGAAGAAGGTCCAAGTCTCTCTTTCTCTCTCTCTCTCTCTCTCCCTCTCCCTCTCTCCCTCCCTCCCTCCCTCTCCTTCTCTCTCTTTCTCTTTCTCTCTCTCTTTCTCCCCCACTCCCCCTCTCCCTTTCCCTCTCCTTCCCTCCCTCCCTCCCTCTCCCTTTCTCTCTCTCTCTCTCCCCCGGCCTTTCTTCGCGGCTTCCTTTTCCCTGGAGAAAAAGCTCCTGAATATCTGATGCGCTTCTCCCATCTGTCTCCTAATCTGTTAGGTGAGGCAGAAGAGTCAGGCGGCGTGAAGTCCTCGGTATCGGGGCAGTCCCCTCCTTCCCCTTGGGAATGGTTCCCTTCCCCCTCCTCCTTATCTCTCCATAAAAGAGGAACCCAAAGATTAGGACCTCTTGAGAGGGCCGTTTTAAAAGAAGGAGAGGGAGGGGAGAGGCAGAGGCAGGAGTTGGACTTTGTAAGTTCTTCTTCGGACAACTTCTGCTTTTCCCTGCCTTTCTTTTTAACCCCTTCCCTTTTGCTGGCGGAGTTGCTCCTCGCCTTCCAGCCGCCCTTCCCAATGTGGCATCCCGCTAATTTATCCCTCGCAAAGTCTCCGCCGCTCTGCTTTATTAGATGGTGGGACTGACTCTGAGTACGATTAGCCCAGTGACAAAACCAACTCCCACTGTCCTTAGTGGCCTTCGTGGATCCCAGGAAAACCCTCGGACCTGTCGGGAACTTCCTCCCTGCCCTCCCCTCCAAGTTAGCCCCACGGCGGAGGAGGAGCTGGGCCGCTTCCCCGCGCGCAGCCCCCCCCCGCAGTCCGCGCTCCGCAAAGCGGTCGGCAGCTGCGGAGAGGAATTCCCTCGCGGGAGTCCCTCCGCTGCCTTCTGACCCCTCCGAGAAGCGCCGTTTGTTTAACCGACGGCTTCAGCATTGACAAAAATGCCCGGGGAAAGGAGACAAAGCCAGGTTTGCCCCGCGGCGTTTGAAATGGAAGCGCCAAAAGTTTCCCGGTCTCTCGAAATGACCGATTTCTCCCTTCCCACCCATCAGCCCAAAATAATAGGAACTCGGTGATGAAAAGCTCGCTTGTCGATAAGGTCCTTGCGACTTCTTAAGGCGCTTCGAGCAATTGTCCGGCTCTGCGCAACTATTTTCCTTGGGACTCCTTTATTATCTGCTCCCCTTCCCCAAGTCCCGGCGATGGCACCGGCACCGACTTTAGTTTCACACATCTTACTCCTTTACAGGTAAAGCTATCCTTAGATTCTCTCTCTCTCTCCCTCTCCCTCCTTCCCTCTCTCCCTCTCTCTCCCTCCCTCCATCTCTCCCTCTCTCTCCATTCCCCCCCCCTCTTCATTCTGGATAGCTTCAAGGACGCTCTCATCCCCCTGGGCGAAGGTAGCTTCCGATCCATTGATCCCACATTATGGATTAAGATTTAAGACTAAAGGGGAAAATAGGAGATGGCGTATAATAACTTCCCTCTTGTCCCCATGGCAGCACAGCTCTTGGAGCCTGGAGAAAGGCAGCCCAGTGCTAGGAAATGCTTCCCTCTGGATTACATTTGAAGCCAGTTTCCTTGCCTTTAGAGGCCCATAATGCAAACTGGGCAGAGAGACTAGCTGCAAAGACAGTTCTGAGTGGAGCATTTAGAAGAACTGCACCTGTTGAACTTTAAGAGGTGGGTGACATTCCAGATTAGCCAGGCACTCTCTATTAGGTAAAGAACTTGAACTCAGTTCCCGTCTCTATGCCCACTGCTTGGGGAGAGAAGGGACAGGGGGAATAGAAACATTTTTTAGCATGACAATAAAAGAGCCACTTGCAATTGGCTCCTAGCAGAGATCTAGCCAAGGCTGGCTTCGCCTCAGGCAACCAAACTTTCCAAAAATCAAGACATTAACAGATGGTGGCAACCACATGGAGAGATGGTGTTGCTTAGAGAGAATCTAGTCATTTCACTCAAGCCGAGAAAAGAGTGAATCCCAGAAGGACACCGTGTATTCTGAAGAGTTCTGCACTTGGCCCATCCTTATTCCTCTCCCTTATGCTCCTGTTTCAGCAGCTTCAGCTTTTGAGAAATTGAAATAACAACAATAGTAATTTTTTTTTAGCCTACTTCCTAAAAGGGACGATGGCTTGCCAACTGTTTATATGACACGAAGGGGGCTCAGTGATCTTTATTTGTGCTGCTTCGGAGGGCTGGCTAAATACTAATAAACGGATGAATATATAAAATGAGGAAAGACAATCCAAAGACAACACCGGGAAATGAATAGCAAGCAATCATGGCTTGCAAACTGGAATAGTGG